TACATTGAGTATGCATTTACTATAACTTTATATTTTAAAAAATACACCAAATATGTCTTTTGTACTTCACAAAATAACAACATGTTTTCATTTGTTAGACAGACTGATTTCTCTATTAAAACAACAATTTCTTTCAAAAAGATATTATTTAGAGAGCTCATGTAATCATTTAATACTGTGTGATCATTTATTGAATCACAGAGCAGTTCAGTCACAGTTAGAGCTGCCATGATTAGTCGACGACTAATAGTCGATTAGTCTTTTTTTTTTTTCCAAACTGCTTTGACACCTTCCACTGCCACATGTGCCTTTCTGTCCTTGACACACATGCACAGTAGTGGTAACTGGGGTAGACCGTGGACGTCACAAGACGTTATACAGACAGGCTCTGATATCATGGCTACCTGACAACAGAGCTCAAAAGTGTGGGATCATTTTAAGAAAATGAAAGAGAAACCTGTGCAATTTCTGCAGAGCAGAACTTACCTTCCACAGCAATTATTTTTAGTTAGCATATAGCTAAAATCTAACCATGGTTATATAATCGTAGCTGCATTCTGGCGCGATAAGCTCTATGTTTTATATTCAATTAACGTATGATCCGATTAGTCGACTAATCAAAAAAATATTTGGTGATTAGTCGACTATAAAAATAATCGATTGTGGCAGCCCTAGTCACAGTTTGGTTCTAAATATAAGATAAACTACCGGTACAAAAAAATAAAACTACAAAAAGAACATAGCGTTGTTGTTTTTTTGTTTTGTTTTGTGGGTTTTTTTGCGGGGTGTGGGGTGGTGCCTAACGCTAAGCAGAGACTCATCTTTTATATACTGGGGCAAATAAGTGTTCATCTGAGTTAATATTTTGAAAGAACTGAAACATTGTCTCTCACAGAGCTCAGCCTGTGCGTGCTGCRCTCCCGTAACAGCGCTGTCGAGGAGAGGAGTTTGATCACATGAGCAAAGTTGGACATATCTGTTAGATAACGATGCTCTGAACACAAACTTATAGTGTGTTCGATTTTAGAGACCAGCGTCTCGGGTAGCTCAGGAACGAAGTGTGGAGGACAGGAGCTGCAGGCTGACCGGTGTTTATCCTGCAGACTGCTGCACTGACATCAGAAAGCCCCGCCCTGCTCTGATTGGATAAAGCTGTGGGGGTTCATTTAATTTGTTGAAAGCAGCGTCTTTTTAAACATGTATCAGACTGGGTGGCTTTAATGAAACCGCAACAGAAAACAAGCAGGTTCTCTGACGTGGGCAAAATGACGTCAGTCATGAAATTAGCGTTTCATGATATCATTTATTTTCCCRGGCAAGTTTTTTTTTTAACCGGTATTATCGTGAACGATATGATATGGCCCAGCCCTACTCCAACATCACCCAAAACTAACTCAAGAGCATCTCCCTATGTTTTCTCATACCTTGTATATTCCGTCATATCGGTTTCCTTCCTCGGGGCAGTATTTACTGTGCTTACGTCCCTTGCAGTTACGCACAACTCTGACCGGTTTGCCCTCCTTCCAGTTTTTGGACTCGGCTCCATTTTTGTCATTGACAGGAACATTGCAGTTGAGAGCTAGAGCCCTAATGAACCAAAACAATCAATTTAAAATAAAACAAGTAGATCGAGATGCACATAAAATAAATAAAAACATTAAAAGTGGGATTTCTTGCCATACCGGTTCATGTGGGTCAGAGTTTGATCACACGATTGCTCGGCTGTTCTCTTGTTTCCAGAAAGGTCTCGCCCTCCTGATCCAGTATAAGTGAACTCATTGCCATCATCCTGTAGTGAAGATCATTTATCATTAAAACTAAGCTTTCTGTAATTACCAAAGTTTTTGTTCCCTATTGATCATGTGTTAAATATACTAACTGAAAATGCATACCACGTCATCCTCATAACCTCCTGCCAGGACTAAAGAGTAGGAACCATCATTGCTCCTGCCATGTATTCCAGCGACATGAGGCCTGTGAACACCGGACTCACTGACCTATAAATGAATAGGTAAATAAACAAGCTCAWGGTTAATAGATGATTTATATAGTCAAACACACAGTTCATCATTTTAACAATTGTTTGTTATGGTGCACAGAATTAAAACAGACCTGCACTCTGAACTTCCACAGGGAGCCGACAGGGACACCAGGGATCGGGCCATAGTGATTGGACGGGACGATGGTGCACTGCTTGGTTCGACCCACACATGCCATACCCTAGAATGTGACGTTTTTATTGTAAAACTTTTTTTATAAAGAACAAACAAAAAGCTGCACACAATAACACTGACCACAGATTGTGAGATTCTTCAGCATGAGATTTAACCACTAATGTCACCATAAAACTCKGATTTTTTTTAACCATTTTATTACTTAAATTAATATACTGGAAAACAAATTTTAAAGGTGATCGAGTCAAGTGTAACCCAAATATACTTAAAGGGATCCACGATTATTTGTAACATTAGACTTTATTTGATAAACATTTATTTTAACTGTAAAATTAAGACTGTAAAAAATACTGTAGGCTGTTAAGTTTTGTAAACTTTTAAAAATATATTTTAACACAGACGGAGCCATTTTATTTACACGCAAAGCATTCTGGGTAAATGATGACGTGGATAGGTCCTCAGTGCGAGGCTGGTAGCGAGCTACAGTATATCCATCCTGAAGGTTAATCTTGGACAATATCTGACGATCGACTCTTTTAAATGAAACCAGAGAGCGTTGACAGAGAGGAGAAGGTAGAAATGACTCAGCCTGTAACTGAAAATATAGATGGAGGACAACAGAGCTGCTTCATGGAAAAAGAACCTCAGCTTAGCCTGTTAGCCTTTACGCTAGCACCGACRCTATATTGCCTTATATGTATTAGGTTGGTGCTAGCGTGACAAACTGACAAGCTAAACTGAGGTCCTCCATCCATATTTTCAGTTGCAGGCTGAGTCATTTTTGTGTTCCCCTCTCTGTCAGGTGGATGGAGGACCTCAGTGATGAGAGGAGAATGTGTAGCGCTGAGCTAATACATATGTATGGTGATAGCATCAGGGCTAATGCTAAAGCTAACAGACTAAGCTGAGGTTCTTCCAACCTATCCACATCATCATTTACCCAGAATGCTTTGTGTGTAAATAAAATGGCCCTGTCTGAGTAATATATTTTTAAACTTTTAGTTTAAAAATTATAAAAACTGACCAGCCTACAGTATTTTTACAGTCTTTTTTGACAGTTAAAATATATGTTTATCAAATAAAGTCTAATGTTACAACTAATCCTGGATCCCTTTAAAACAATTATCTTTTCTMTGGAGAAGGATTTAGTGTATGTCACCTTGCCCCAGTCTCTTTGGCTAGAGGAGCTGGCAGAAGCCATCTTTGCCTTCTTCTTGCTTTCCTTCAGCTTCTCTCCAGCCAGGACAACTTCACTGCTGTCATTGCGGCAACCTGGGCAATACCTGAGACAGTAACGGAGATTATGTTAATAACTCAACACGAGTTGTGTTTGGTGTTGGGCTCTGTCAAAAAGCTCTCAGATTTCTCATCTTTTTAAAAAAAACATCTGAATTTTTTAATAATTTTATGCACATAATCACTCGTCCAGATTATTTAAATTTTATTTTCAACTAACCGAGGATTAAACTGGGTATATAAAATCCATCGGGTTTCTACTCACCAATCTTCATCCTCAGGGATGGAGGTAAGTGGAGGATCCAGACAGTAGATGTGATAGGCCATGTCGCAYTCATCACACAGCAACTGTTTGTCAGGATCCTGCTTGATGCCGCAGATGTGACAATTACACCAGCGACAGTTTTTCTTCAGATCATCCTTACAGTGCTTGCATTCAGGTCCGCTTGCTCCTGAAGGATACAGATACAAGGGGTTATTTGTCAATAGAGTGCAACTGGGTAAAGCAGGTTTTGAATTTGCTAGGGCTGCACAATAAATAGCAAATTTATCGTCTTTGCGATAACAGCCCACGCAAATAGGCATTTACGATTAATTGTCGAATAATTTATTAGATTAAAATCCATTCCAATCAATTAACTGATATCGTCTGCCGGCGCATCACATGATCCACTTAAAGCGCTCTAACTGGAAAGGTACGCCTTCTGAGACTCTAGTTCAACCTGGGTCAAAAGTAGAGACTTCAAACCAGTTTTGATTTCAAACCAGTGTTGTTAGGCAAAATAGAACCAGAGTTATGATAAAAAAAAGTATACGTCAAATTTTGTTTTCTTAAAATAAAGGTTTAATTTGATACGTTTCACGTCGGGTTGCATTTGCATAATGTCCTGGGCAGGAAACACACTCCTGTGGAATAAAAAACTCCAAATCCACCATCGGTTTCCCCCTTCTCGAATCGAAAATATAAAAACCCTCTAATCTTTTTCCTGACTGAGGCCTAAAGTTATTAATAATAACTTTGTGTCAACACACACTTCAGACGAAGCTCCGAATCGTAACTTTAAAAAAAATTACACCATCCTTATGGGTGTTTGWACAAAATCCTGCGATAGGCTACAACGTTAAGGCATTGTTGTTTTTTAAAACCGTCAAAACTCCAAAAACTTCAAGAAATATCCATCTATCCTTAGGTTTTCTCCCACTACAATCCTACTAGTTAGCTGAGGGGACGTCCCCCCGGTGACGTCACTTTTGTTTTCTTCCTCGGACACTAGAGGCGCTACAGTTCACCTAAATTTACCTTGTTTTTTTGAAAACAAGGATGTCATACAGGCACACTTGTAATTATTAACTAAATCTTCGGGATGGACCTTTTGGTTTATAAAAAAATGGCAGAAAAGGTCCATATCGTGTCATCAGCTCTTCAAACCTTTGCATTTATGTATTTTGTCAGAATCAGTCTGATAAACAACATGGACCAAGATACCACATCACTACTTTAAAATTCTTTGACTACAAGATGTTTTTATATTTTTTAAAACAGATGGTAAGGGGTGTTTTCCAGTATTTAGAGCATCAGAAAACGTTTAATGGGGGCAATGTTTTAAAGTCATTAAGAAACTGCATTGCATGCAATTGTTGTTTCACTGTTAAAACAGCAGCTGTGTCTATCTGCACTTTTTAAAATAAAACTGACATGTTTTAATGGATGTTTTGTTTTTTGTTTTTGCTATGAACACAGAGCAGAAAGAGCTCTAAAAGATGCCAAACTGTCGCACACACTCCCAAAGCAGTAAAGCAAAAGTCCAGAGATTTTGAAGTTAACATTCATATTAAAATGTCAACAACTAACAACTTACAGAATTGTGTTATTAATGTTATCTTTGACCTACTCTTTAATGGACTCTCATTTCCAGCTGGAGTGTCACTCGATGAACCAGGCTCCTCAATTTTATAGATTTCAGTCAGAAACATGATCCGGCAGTCATTAAGAGAGTCGCCAGCAGCGCTGCAAATAAAGACACAAACTGTCAAAGATGTCTGCAGGGCTAGTAATATGGCTGCACATTCCACTTCCAGAAGTTATTGCAATATTGAGCAAGCAGCCGATACCATAGCAGGAAATCTGCCTCTACTAAACCAACTGTTGTGGCTTTACAAACTCCAGAAACAGTGTTACTGTTACAACGAGAGCACCGCAGAAAATGTTCACCTGGCACCACAGTGAGGGAAGATTCCCAGATAAAGTCTGTCATAACTGACTGGATATAAAATTAAACGGCGTCCTCACCCAAGAATGATCTTGGCAGAGATCTCTCGCTGYGTGCGAGTCTCCCGCTTCTTCTGGATCTCTGCATCGTACCAGTACCCACGTTCCTTGGGGTCATCTGGATTATAGTTGACCATGACAACCATTCCCGGCTCCAGGTGGTGCCACTGGTACACCGTACGGGCCCTCGGGCGGACATCTTTGGCCAGCACCTGAATGACTCCGCTCTCTGGGTAGCTGTGACAGTTAATATGATAACATATCATTCTGTGACACAGCAGGCACAAGCCACGGGTTTTTTCTAAAGTGCTGAACTGTCATGTATTTAAAGAAAAAACTTTTGATTAAGTCAAACAACTAAAACAGCAGCAGACTCAGTTAAGCCAAGCGGATGAATATGAATGTTGCCTCCAACACTGATGCAACAAAAAACATCTTTCATACATAAGTTATATCACTTCCACGTGTCTTTGCCTGTATTCAGTTCTCCAAAATGAGATTTTCCTTTACTGGTAACAATGTGCCACCATCTGACCACCAAGGTCACTGACTTGTGTTTTGTGTTGTTCCTCACAGCTTTTGTCTTTAGCTTAGCTGGCATTCTTCTTTTTAGTTTTATGTGTTTCAGCTTAAGGAAGAGGACTTCCTTTGCCGAGGCTCCAATCTCATGTACTTTAGCTCCCATACATATATTGCAACAAAAAGTCATTGTTCCCAATACATCAGACATTCTGTTGAGCCACTTTTAATTTTGGAGACCAAAGTTTTGTTAGAAGCTCAAATTTATTTTATTTTTGCCTGAACCTAATTATTGTCTGTTAATACTGGCAACTTTCATAAAAAAAAAAAAAAAAAGAGAAATCTTCAGTTAACAGGCTGGCTTCTCCGGTTCTGGCTTCCTGTTCACTTTAGGATAAATTTTCAGATTTTACTGCTTACTTTTAAAGTTTGAAAAGGTTTGGCATCATCATACCTGTGATCTCTTTAACAYTGACGCTCCAGTGGAAGCTCTTTGGTCATCCAACCAGTTTCTCTTAAATGTTCTTAAATCCAAGCTAAAATTCTGAGGTGATTGGGTTTTAGCAGTTTCTGCACCAAAGCAGTGGAATAATTGACCTTAATGTATTCGGACCACTGAGACATCAAGGCTTTGTAAACTTTATGCTTAAGACCCATCTTTAATCCTWGCCTTTTGTTTGTGATTCTTTTAGAGTTAGTGTTTTAATGTAATATTTTTGTGTTTTAAATTAATTTTACTTATGTTTTGAACATTTGTTTCTTTCTTGTTTAATCTGTTAATTTGACTGCATTGTGATGCACTGTGGTCAACATTTTTATATGCTATATAAATAAATCGACGTGGCTTCACTGTACAGAGCTGTGCTGTTTTGCAAGACAAGACTCACATTTTACAATTTGAACAATCAAAAGATCACAAAAATAAGAGAAAAAAAAGATTCTTACTCGTCGTATTTAACATGGTACAGGATCTCCTCCTCAGCTGACTTTTCAACTCCCTCTTTTTGTGGCGTCTTTGTAACGTCCACAATATGGGCCTCGAACCACGCTCCCATGTTCAAGTCTCTCACATCCACCAGCTCGTTAATCTTAACACGCACAAAATATACAAGTTGAATGTTCAGGGTGATTTCATATCAGAAAATCTTCTAAAATGCTGTTTTCCATAGAAGAAAGTACTAAAACCTCCCATTTTCTACACAATAAGATATGCATTTCAAATTTCATTTAGAAACAGTCACAGTGCGTTGAAAAAAAAGGTTTAAAAAAAGRTTTTGYTTTTTAAATAAGCTCTGAATTCTACGCAACCAGTCACTTTTTAGAATCAGCAAGTATTGCGCTACATAAAAAAGTCTCACTCTTTCTGTGAGGTATAGCTGTCTCCCTCCCATGGTGACCTCTCTGCTCTGAGTGCTGTTTTATGTCCTTGTGATCTTTTTCTTTTTTATCATTATCTTTTTATTTTATTTATTTTTTACTCGTTAGTATTATTTCTCTCCTCTTTCTCAGTGTTAAGGTTTGCCTGTATAAAAATTAAATCAAAAATAAAGTATAAAAAAAATTCTCACTGATGTTTAATTTTTTTTCTTTCAAACGAACATAATTCTCACACCCATTTTAATCTGGACCACAATCTGCAAGCGGCACCTTGTAAAATCCAAATCCAGGATAGACGAGCTCGTCGGGGTTGTTTGTCTGAGCAGACGTTCCCGCGGTCTGACCTTCGACCTCGCCGTGAGTGGAGTTCTTGTCAGACTCGCTCTGGGTTGAACCACAGCCGGAATCCGAGTCAGAGAGCTCAGCTTCTTTGTCCTTGCTTTTGACGACGCCGGTAGGGGGCACCTTCTGCCTGATAAGCAGCTGCACGATGTCGTTGAGGCCTACATTATAGTCAAATATGGTATGGCCGTCTTCCATCTATTAACACACAAACGCCATTATATAACAAAAGGAATATGTTCTTCATGCAAAAGCATTTACAACTTTACTGAACTTTTCTTAGAGTGAATAAACCAAACTATAATCTAATAAAATATCACCAAAATCCTCGCACTGCTATGATCAAAACATCCAACCACACTATCTCACCTGCTTGCCACGATAAAACAGTCTCTGCCTCTCTGGCTCCACCTTGAACAGCTCCATGATTTTGACACGCAGCTCATCCACCTTGGTGAGTTTGGACAGGGAATCCACTCGGTGGGTTTCCTTCCCATCCATGGTGCGTACTTGAATCCACATTGCAGCTGCCCTACGCAAACACCCAAATCAAACACAACGAAGCGACAGTTTTACCACAAAGAATGTTTATATCTGAATCTTAGAGTAATGACGACGGTGCCTGCTCTTGGAGACAACAGGASCCAGGTAATGCAAGCGGTCATGTTTTATTTTTTAGACCAGAGTCGATTGTTGGGGGGGTTAAGTTCCACATACGTGCTTCCACACAATAATGGTGTTACAAGCTTTTTTTTTCTAATCATAAAATACAACTAAACATGATTAAAACGTGAGCATTTTGAACATAAAAATGTGTTAGAAAAAAGAAAATATTCCTAACTTTGTTTACAACTAAATTTGTCAATCAGTTACAAAGATTTTGGCACTACTTGCATAAGATCTAACTTTTGCCTCATCTCTCTCAACTGAGCATTCTTCTCTTCGAAAAAACTACTCTACTTTTGTTGATTCTCGCCCTTACAGCTTTTAGTCACAATTTCTTTTCAGAAGTAGACGTAACATTACCGTTTTGCTTCCGACCTGGCGTCTCTGATTCTTTTGTTCTCCCTCTCTGTTTACATATGGGGATTATTTTATCAACAAGCACTGACTGTCTGTCTGATGTGGACTCATCAATGTTGGAATGTAAACAAGTGACTTGAAATAGTTGACAACAAAACATGACCGCTGATTTCATTCATTTATTGCAAATCATGATGTACACTCTTAGTAGTAAATTATGCACATTTCATAGTTGTCAAAAACAAAAAAAGTTCAAATCATAAACACTGAAAGTATTTTGACAGCTGTTAAGCCTTTACCAACACGTTTACCTGTGTTGTCACGGCATTGTATCAAAGCTACTGCTGCACAGGAACACAAATGTGATGTTTCTTCCTCCTTTCTGTTTCCGTGTACTGTACATGAAGAGGTTTATCACCTCATCAGAAGAAATCAGAAAGGGAGGGAAGAGGCTGATTTAAATACAGTGCGGGAAAATGAGCTCCAAGCCACGCCCAGTTCTCTTAAAGGCACATCCGGACGCGAGGGAGCTGCTAGCAAACAATGTGCCGGCTTCGTTGTCTTAGCTAAAAATAAAATTAAAAATTAAAAAAAACACGGTCAAACAATATCTTATGTATCCGTCTGAAAGGACGGCGGTGTTATTAAAATGAAACGTTGATTCCATGTGTTATATTCGAGGCCTCCTAAGTAATAAAGGCGAAAGCTCAGCGGCGTTTTTGTTCTCGGAGCAGCTGAGCCCTCTCCTCAATCCAACCGCAGTGAGTGAACAAAACACAACGTCAAAAACAAAAAGTATCCCCTCCAACTTCAGAAGCACTCCTTCAGCTATTTCATTCGTGTTGCCCTTTTTAATGCAGACAAAAACTACAGCTAAACTCAGCGGTACAAGTTTAAAACGCCAAAACAGGAAAAGTAAGAAACCTGGAGTTAGCATTTTTGTTTTGCTGCCTGACTGAAAACAACAAAAACTGTTAACCTGTCAAACTCAACTAACCGGTTTAACACGGAACAACTTGTAGCTTCAGATAAATAAGTTTAGTCAAGTTCATCATCGCCCACTTACGAGTGCTATAGTAAACCCCAAACACACAATGATACACTTTTAAAGTTAGCAAAACACGAAGTAAAAATAYGTTTACCTGTTTTTTCGTCCGATTAAAAGCAATAAACTGACGTTTAGGGAATAAATATGCACGTTTTGCCCCCTAATTACTCCTGAAAGGGTCAGCACAACCAACTCTGTGCCTTGTTGAAGATTGATCAATGAGTTATTCTTCAAGACTTTGTCATCCCGCCTGCTCTAAAAGTTCATCTTGAGCATTGGCCGCGTGCTGTCAAGTGGATCGAGTCGATTGGCTAACAGAGCTGTCCATCAGTGTGGTGACTGGAGCTTATCGTGAGCGCGCGAAACTACATTCTCGTGAGTGTAACTTGCCCTCGGAAATTTTATCGCGAGATTTCAAAGCGCCCACAGACACAGGCGGCATGAGAGTTTCACATTTGTTTGCGTGTCTATTGGGTTTCAGAATTTATTGCTGCCCTTAAAATTACCCTTCTTTATATGTGGAAACTCCCAACATCATGTATTAAAATGAGTTAATGATGTGTAATTACTCACCCCTTCGTTTTAACCAATTCAAAGTGAAATGAATTTGTRAGCATGTGCATTATGGTACAAACTAAGTGTAAATAATGGACACATAGGGATAATTTATCAGGTTTTGTGAGATGAGAAGTTACATAAAGCTTCAATGAACCATAGAAACATAATAGCAGAACCCAAAAACTGACATTTGAATAAGTCCGTGGTTCCAAACCTTTATATTTTTTGACCCCAAGAGACTTGCAAACCAAAACAATCTGTGATATTAGTACATATAAGGGGAAATTTTCACGAGGACTAATATAGCTTGATTAAACTTTTTATTTTAACACATAGCTATAAATCTTGTTCTTACATGCCTTCGGGAGATATAAGGCTTGTGCCTTTTTCTAGTATCAACATTTTCAACATCTTTAGTTGTTTGAATAATAGTCCATCAAGAATAAAATAAAAACAGTACACACTAAGAGGAAAACTCCAGATAAAGGCCTATTAGCTGTACGGTGTCTCTGGTGTGGTGGATCCTGGACAAAGTTGTTTGGGAGGTGCCGAAAAGCACTCAGAGCTCAATGAGGAAGACAGGAAGTGAACACGACAGGCTAAGTCGTCCAGGAAGTCCCTTTGTAGCTTTGTTACTGCTTGAGAGAGCACAACCGGCAGTGACTGCACGCCGAGAAGGATGGAGTCCAGTTTTTCTTCCAGAGCCACAATCCTCCTGTCCATCTCCCCGGTTCGATGCTGAAGTTCTGATACCAGATCGTACATCATGTTCTGCGTCTGGAAAGCAGCACAAAGACTTTACAACCTTAAATTAAGTGGCTTTTGAACTGCCATCAGATTTATCCCTTTCTGTCAAGTAGTTACAGACATTCCTTTTAATCATTTAACACTGATATGACAAGTTTCATAAAGTAATCTGGACTTTATGTGTAAAATATTAATGTTTTTCTACATTAAACATCGTAAGCAAGCCAGAGCAAAAGAAAAAAGAAGCTACATAAAACTTACAGAATCACTTTAGAACTTGAACATAATGTATCAACTACATGCAATAGTTTCTCATTGGATCAACTTTAATTGAGTGCTTTAGGCACCTCAAGCAAAGGCTTCAAATGTATCATAGAACAACCCTTTGAATTTCTTAGAAAAGCAATGCAATTTCTTTGGGCATTTACATAACTAGTTCACTTTTTAATTACTCCACAAAGGTGTCTTGGTATTTACATTCCTTTAAAACTTAGAAGGAAAACATTGTTCTAACCTTTGCAAGATCAGCAACTGTATTTGCCTGGTCAGTTAATTTCCTTTGCTCCATTTTCAGTCTTCGCAGTCTAAAGTTAGAAACCAAAGCAACGGTCAGTAATGATTGGCTCATCTTGGCAAACCGCTTTTCTCAATAATGATGTAAAAAGATACTCTAACAGCAAATAATGGAAGAGGAAGGTGCATGTCCAAACTTAAGTTTGCGCTTTTAAAACAAACTACGATACGGATACCTACTGGTGGATGGCTTGAAGGAATTTACGCTGGTGGTGCCTTACGCGGGAACGATCAATCTTTTTGACCAGTTTGGTGTTTTTGTAAATGAGCCACGTCTCCCTGAGTACATTTGCTGCTGTGTTTTTTATCTAAGGAGATATAGATATGGGAAATAAAAAGGTTAGGTTTAGGTGTAAATAGAAGGCAAGTAGAATTTCAGTGCTGTAGATTGATTTTTACGTAATCTAATAACARTTWGAATTGTAGTGGTCACCTCRATGTGGAATAAACAGTTCCACCTGTCTTTGACCTTGGTTTCAGAAGACCTCCTTTAAAGAGGCAGAACTCTGTTCAAGTTAAAGCCATAACATGTTTTCTTAAACAGTAGAGACATTTTCTTCTTATTAATCTGAGAATAAACAGAATAATCTTCTCTTATTCATAATTTTAACAATTTATAAAAATGAAAACACAAAAAGAATGTTATTATGTTTTATTGTGCTTTCATGTAAATCACTGCTTGAACTTTAACTGTGAAACTACAGTAATTATTTTTAAGTTGAAATATTTTACTATTTTACTTATTAATCAGATAAACAGAATAATCTTCTTTTATTCATAATTTTATCAATGTGTAAAAATAAAACACAAAAAGAATGTTATTAAAATGTTTTAT